ATCCTCCATTTTGATCAGCTTGAATACAACCAGCCTGGTATGTAATACTTGAACAGATTCCCAATATACCAGAAATGTATTTGCTATAATATTTTCTAAAGATACCTACAGTAGGTCTTTATGATCGTTGTATATTTGTATTAATATTATGTAACATTGTAACTTGTGACATAGTTCAGATGTATTTAACTAGGTGTATCTTATATACTTAATGAGTGATTTGAACCTGTACATATTTATGTGATTCCATTTAATATACTTTCTTATATGTTCTTTCAGGCTGTTTAATAAATAGACCAGAATAAACGTATCGGCCTCACAACCCACAGCCGTTTGTATTCTTTAACGGACGCAAACAAGGCGCTGTTATAAACATATGGGATTGGAGATGGATATCTATCATTACAGAAGGAACCCGGCAGCAAAAAAGAAGAAGAAAACAGAAACGGTTTTGGGTACGTCCGTGGTTGAGGTTGGAAAGAAGATTGAACTTTGGAAACTATGACAATCTCCAATCTTAACTCAGATTCGAAGACACTTCTTCTTTCTTCAACTATCTGCGAATGCCTCCATATATGTTTGATGAACTGCATACTTCCCTCGTCCCAAGCTTACCAAAACAGACACCAACTTCAGGAAAGCTCTGCACCCTGGTCTGAACTTAGCAGTTACCATAAGGCCCCTATAGCCGCTGGAGACAAGTACCCCTCCCTCTCCTACCACTTCAAAGTGTCAAGACACACCAAAGCCATCTTTCTCCCTGAGGTGTGCCAAGCCATCGTAGACCACTACTTGGATACAGTAATTGCATGTCCTGTCACTCAAGGGGATTGGAAGACCATCAGAGATGGAATTTCCCTCATGCTGTTGGTGTCCTCGATGGAAAACACATCGCGATTCGTAAGCCACCTGGTAGCGGAAGCCTCTACCACAACTACAAGGGTTTCTTCTCCATTGTCCTGTTGACCCCTGTAGATGCTAATTACAAATTTCTATGGGTGGACGTCATACGTCAGATGCACAAATCTTCAATGCCTCATAGTTGAAGGAGTGTATGGAAGATGGCAGCAATTGCCTGCCCGAACCTGAAGCATTGACAAATGATGATCTGGATATGCCTTACTTCATACTTGCAGATGATGCATTTGCCCTTCGTCAATATCTAATGAAACCCTACTCAAGAAGAGGTCTGTCAGAAGCCAACTACAGGATCTCCGGAGCAAGGCCTAGGAGAGTCGTGGAGAATGCCTTTGGTATTCTTGCAACCCGATGCCAGTTTCTTCTCAACACTTCGCAACAGGGTCCAGGTGTGGCTAGGATTATGGTTGAAGCTTCCGTGTGCATCCTGGCTGTCTTCTGGTGGTGGGGTTGGTGATCTCACTCTCTTCCTGTTGGCTGTTCTCTTTGTTCTTGCCATGTTTTCATGTTTCCATTACAGCAGTTGAAATTGGAGTGATGTTGACTTCGATCTTCGGTGCTTTTATACCTTTTCTGTCAGTCTGATGTGAATCGTGTAAATCGTGAGTAGGCTATAGAGTGAACATTACATAAGTGGATCGTGTCTTATTTGGGAGGAATCGTGCTGATGCGTCTATTTGACAGCTCCGCTTTGTTAGGCAATTAGCTTGTCGGTTCCATGTTGGGGATGTGTCGGGAGTTAATCTTGGTTGATCAGGTGTGAAGCGTGGCATTACGGGGATGACACGTGGCCGTTTCTGCCTCTCAATAATGGTACGACTCGTTCACGATTCACCTATGGTTAAGCTGATTAATTGCTCATGATGCTTGCCGATGCATTCCCGATGAATTCCCATCACACTGGCGACTATCCAGATCAGTCACGCATAACCTACGACTTTTTTCAATCGGCTCATGTTTTTGAACCTGTTCATGAACCTGTTGGAAAACTTGGGCCGATTCAAAAATCACCTCCAGACTGTGCAGAATGCTGCAGACTGGGTCGACTGATCGGGAAGTGGCTGCTGCATTCGGGTGTCATCGCCTCACCATTATAAGGCTGCGTCAGCGATTCCAGAATACTGGCACAACTAGAGACAGACCCAGAAGCGGGAGGCCACCAGTTACAACCACTTCCCGATCAGTCGACCCAGTCTGCAGCATTCCAATGGCCCTCTCCCGCTCTTCTGCTGTTAATCTCGGCATTGTAGTGAATGTATGGTGTGAAATGATAAATCTAGGGGCCTTATATACCCGTTTCCAACAGTTTTCACGTGCATTTCATGCAAGGTGAAGTTACAATGGGTACGTTTTGGCGTTATGCTTCCTTATACAAGGACAGAAATAGGCAAAATTTTACAGTATCTAAGGGAAAAATTAGTCTTTTCTCGTTTGACGACTCTTCCTAAAACAGTCGAAAGTCATGATGATCCAAAAATTAAACCTCAAGTGGTTGGAATGTGTTTTAAAGAGACAAAAATCCAATTTCAGCATTTGGTCCCTTTTTACGGTAAACAACCATTCTTTCATATCCAAATCCCAACTTTATCACTCTTTGTGAATGTGCATGCATTATCATCATAAACAATATCATTTGGACCCATTTTTAACTGTTTTTTTACACATTTGAATTTTAACATGATTGAAAATAGGACAATGGACCCCACCTAAACAAACATGTCGATATCCTAATTATCAATGACTTCCTCAGTCTGATGTTTTGCCTCAATAGAGTTACATGACTGGTTGTTAAAACATACCAAACCAAAGTCTTCTATCCATATAACATTTTAGGATATTCTACTGTTCAGAGGTGTAACATTTCTTTTGGCGTTCAGTTTATGTCTTCTGGCCACTTGTCAGCTTTTCTTTCAACCGGAGCAGTCTCCCCTCAGACTCTATGTACACCTTCTTCCTGGGTGGGGGAGCGGCACCAAAGTCAATCTGCGTTAGCTTAGCGCCTTCCGATGTCCCTATGCCTTGGATCAGGTCCACAAATCGGTACAGGTTTGGGTGCTGATGTGGGAGACTTCTGTTCACACGAGCATGAAATCCCTCGTGGTGACAAGGGTCGGTTGAGAATCTGCTGCACCTCTGTCTTCAGCAGCGTGAACAGCCTGGCGTATGTTGTCTGTTGTTGGTTGGGCAGCAGGGCGAAGACAAGTGGGTACATCGTATATCCACTGCGGGCATGTACAGTGTACAGTTGGTTCCAAAGGTTGGGGCAACAGGAAAAGGTACCATCCATGTAGATTGGATCTGCTTCGGAAAGACATCTCAGCTGCTCATCGGTGGAAAAGACCAGGATCTTGTCTTCTTCGCCATCTTCACTGGACAGGTGTAGCTTCTTCTCTGGCCCCTTTCCGCAAATTACTCTAGGTGGATGGCAGTGGTCGGAGAAATCTTTCAGGAAGTCCTCAACAGTGGAACATTTCCCTCGGCATGTCTTGATGATACATCTCCAGTGTGTGGTCTGACCTCTGGTTCTATTCTTAGAGTAGGTGAAGCCATCAAGAAATACTTGTGTGGTTCTTTTCTGAGACTCAATGAATTCAACTCTGCGTATACATGTACCAGCCATTACAGCGATATCGTGACTTTAGAGTTCATGTTATATGGTAAATGTGAGATTATACTTATGTTTTGGAGAAGTTTAATCCATTTAAGTAATAAATTAATGCGAAACAAATTCAGTTAAAACCTTATTGATTAATCTTTACTGAGCCTCACGTACTTCCTGTATTCCATATAGTTGAACAAACTACTCAAAATTTCGTTACTACAACACATGCAATCCCACACACTGATCAAAAGCAACTTACAAACACAATCATATTCTGGTTAATCTTATCACTTAACGAACTTGAGAGCGGGGAGTAGCCTACTCTGTTCACAGTTTGGAGCAGCTCATTAATTAGTGGGTAAGTCCAGGCAGTTACACTGGTCACACCTGACTGATCTGTCCGATAACTGGGCTGTCTGACAAATGGCACGTCTGATAAATGGGAGTGAACCCTCTGAAGTTATCACTTTGCGAACAACCTCACAGCAGCAGATGAACTCTTTGTTTTGACAACTAATAAGTTGTCCCACACTGACCCCCACGTTCACACCTTCTTAACGAGTTGTCCCGGAGTGGCCCCTGAATTTGGATGTTACGTAATAGGCAGGGGGCCACTCTGGGAATACACCATTTCCGACATTATACGATCGCTGGCGATTTAAAAAAAAAAGGGCAATCGGGACCGATCGCAGCCCAGTGAAATGGGGGTATATGGAACTCACAGCTCTCTCCTCTCTTGTTCCAAGACTAGGCCCATGAATCTCTCCCAACAGCTTCAAATCAAGGCTTGAACTTGTAACTTGTACCTTTAGCTGCCTTGGAACGAAAATATGTTAATAAATTGTCTTATGTTAGCTTGTGGGCCATGTTCACTACAGATAAACCAGAATTTCATTCCTCCATGGCGGCCATATAGTTTTTTGGGCGCTGATCGCATATCTTACAAATGTCATATTACCTGAAAGTGTGCCAGGTTTCATGCTTTGACACAAAGTGCATGATTTTTTTCAGCGAAACGCCGGAATAAACTCGATAACAGACTCTGCGTCATGGGAATAAACAGGTGGCGATCGCGAAAACAGTGACCCTCCGATGTAATGACATTTCATTCCTCAATAATTTATGAAAGCAAATAGATCAACACCTTGTGGACATATAATTTATAAATGTTTTGTAAAAAACACACCGCTTGATGTGATGTAATGTGAATTGCAATGTTTGTATCATTTGCTTCTCCTACAAAATATCAACTTTGAAGTAAGTCATCAAGCATTTTTCAGTATTATTGCGGTGTATTGTACTAAGTTAACAATAGTACATAATGAAGCAAAAACGTAACTATCAAAGTGTTCTGGCAGCGGAGATGAGACGACACACTGATATTGACTAGATACACACTCTGGGAATACCTGCCTTGAAAAGGCAGTAACAGTGATTGTCTCCCTTTTGTTGTCCCTGCAATCCAGCTTGTCAATTTCCTCGGCTCGTCATATGGACAGGTGAGGTAAGCAAGGTGCGCTACCTGTGACCCACATAAGAAAATAACATGTACAATCTATACTTGTACACCAAAAGTCATTGAAACGGTTCGTATGATACATGAAATGCAGTTTTTCGTGTCTACTTCGTGATTGCCACCTGTTATCACCAAGTTATGGATATTGACAACTTTTAGTTAAACTACAACAATGTCACTTGATTCAAACATGGCGGACTACAGATATTGTCATTGGATAAACGAAGAATGGCAGGAAGGGTGCCTACAGGATTTACCAGGGAGTTGCTGATTACTGGGAGTGCTTCTAGTATGTTGAACAGGATTCAGTGAAACATGGAAAGTCATAAACCACGGCGACCTGGGACAAAGGTAAATATGTGATTTGTGTTTGGATAAGTCGGAGATCCCATAGGCCCAATAGCCTTGTCTGCAGGTCAATATAGAACATGTCCCCAGCTGAACCCAAAGACGTTTGTAATTGCTGTGGTAGAATGATCTAATCTGGACGTGTATCCTTAACTCCATGACGAAGAATGTAGTTTTATGATGGAAGCAATAGTCTAGCAATTTACAGAGACTTTTGGCCCCTATTTATGACGTCGTCGTCAGTTCATAGTGTATATATAGATGTTCCAAAGTAATGTTTGCCCTTTAGGTATATAAACATTGAAATAGTTAAATATAACATATGTTTTGACATTTCATGTCTCACTGTTAATAATGTCACTTCAGTTATTTTCAAGAAGGGCATAAGGAAATCCCAGAAATTGTCATTGCACCAGTTAGCTCAAGTCACACCTAGCTGTCTGTTTGTTTTGTTTCTTGTTTAACACTGCACTCAGCCATATTCCAGCTGTATGATGGCGGTAATCTAAATATTCGAGTCTGTAAATATCCAGTGATCAACAATGTACATGAGCATTAATCTACACAATAGGGATAGGATGACATGTGTTGACCAAGTTACGGAGTCTGGCCACCTGATCCCATTAATCGCCTCTTCTCACAAGCATGTGAAAGACCAATTCTTACCTGTATCTTCATGGTTGCTTTCTGCTTGCCCATAAGTGAGGTAGTCGTTATGGTATGGATATTTCAACCATAATTATGTCAGATGTTTTGCAATTGAACTTTTCATTTTATATTTGAACCTTGTAAATACATTAATCAGGACAATTTAAATAGTTAAAGATCACATATACTCTAGGGGGGTACAAATACATAATCACTAATTGGCATCGTTATGAATTAAACCCCATCATTAAAACTACTCATCTCGATCTTTAATTAACTTAAATCGACCTTATTGACAACAGTGCACAATTCTCACCCGTGAACGAAAGTTCAACCAATCAGAGCGGCGCGTCTCTGTGACGTCATGTGAGGAATAGATATGAGGGCCGATGCAGAATTCATGTACATTTCAGGCGGTAAAGTATCTTGTTTAAGGTTTGTATAAACCTGAAATCGTGACAACTGTTGTGGAAAATGAATGCTATATGTTCTCACAATCTACTGTCATTCAATTTTGTCTCCTGCTTTGCCTAGTTTCCGAGTTACAACTTGTTTTCATAGACGATTCTGTCAAAATCGCTTGGCGTCGCTAGGCCTTATTTGTTCGAGCCTGGTGCTAGTGATAGTGAAAACGATGATCAGCCTCGCTCATCATGGTTATGGTTCATTTCTTCAACCTAAACAGTGCGACATTAAGAAGGGTGGATGCCCATCAGATGCAGTTATTTGAAATTATCCCTGGTAGTTCTTGTCTGATTGTAATAAAGTATCAAAGCAGGGATGTTTTTTTAAAGTTTTCTAATGCATGGATGGTATGACTGATCCAAATTGATCCCATTTCTGTGTTTTTTTTACCTCAATATTTAATCATGTCATGTAAAAATATGACGTCTATTACGTATGATATTAAAAACTGACATTTGATTTATTTGAATCCGTAAACTAAACAACCCTACTTTGCCATTGCTAGAAGAATCTAAAAATTTACTTAGGTAAATAGGTACATACAGTTTTAGCACACAGCAAATGCTTATATGTATTTCTTATGCAACAATGAAGTTCTGTTCGTATTCTCAAAACAGTGTCGTCCCATAAGTTTTCACATTCGATTAAAATTGCATGCGATACAGCAATTAATACTCCCTTGTTGTAACCCGTGTTAGGTGGTATAAACCTACACGTTATTTGTCATTCACTTGATGGTCAGTTAATGAATTTATAACAGGTATAATTACAGTAGTACATGGTTATAGCGAACACTGATATAGCGTACAAACGGATATAGCGAACAAAGTTAAAAGTCCCGTCGACAGTCCTTTATAATATCATTAAAATTATACGTGAATAACGAACTCGTGAGTAGCGAATTAACGGCTATAGCGAACTGATTTACTACCCCCAAGACCCAATTAACGACGTGATTAGCGAACTCACTCAGTGTCAGCTCAGCCACTTAGCGGTACAGTATACATCAATCTTATTGGCGGTGAATCAACATTGATTGATGGTCATTAATTAATTAACAAAACAAACATATTGTGTTTAACCCATTCAACAACCGTTTTTGTTGACGAGGACTGTATCCATTGCCGTAGTATGATTGGCTGCCGTAGGTCACGTGTCTGATTTTGACCAATCACGCGATCCTTATAGCAGACTGTGGCGAAAAAGCGTCATTAGAAACCAATCTTTATCCAATAAAATCGCTTTTTACAACTGTGAAAATACTCTCGGCGAGGGTACAGTGATATTGTTGATGTTCCAAAGCTGTCGAACGATACCAGACACCACACGATTCGCCTCGCATGTTATTCATACGAAGCTTCCAAAACGGAGGTATTTCCCGTTGTTGTGTCATGTTAACGAACGGAAAGCCTGATTACATAAAAATGAAAATATAAAAGAGAAAGGCACGGGCATGTTATGACATGTCACAAACGGAGAAAAAATCGCTACAGTTTTTGCTTCTTTCGTGGTTTATCTGGACATTATAAATGTAAGCTTGCATTTTCATTAAAAACTAAATTTATTTAAGTTGTAGTTGTATTATTTCAATTTTATTATAAAAATAAACTTCATATTTATCAACATGATATAGGTAATGTCTGTGAATGTCTACATCTCTACAATCCAAGATGGCGGTCAAATGTGAATAACGAACAACGGATATAGCGAACTAAATTTCTTGGTCCCTTGGAGTTCGTTATATCCGTGTTCTACTGTAGTGGTAACACCACTTAGATCACCCGACAAAGGTTCCCATTTGGCATTTCTTGTGTCTTGAGTAAATACTCAACATTATTAACATCGATCAAAGGATTAACCGATAACACGCTGATTGATTAATTACTTTTATCTTGCACAGCGGATTTGTCAAAAGGTAGTGTTTATGTATGTAGATTTACTAATCTATAATGAATACACTCTGTTGTGTATATGTCAGGGTAGAGACTGCGATCTGGTAGAATCAGAGATTCTACCAGTAGAGATTGCGATCGGAGTCTCTACCAGTAGAGACTGCGATCGGACTCTCTACTGGTAGAATCTCCGATCCTACTAGTAGAGATTGTAATCGTAGTCTCTACTGGTTGAATCGGAGATTCTACCAGTACATTTTCCAATTCAACTGGTAGAAACTACGATCCTACTAGTACAGGCTGCAATCGTCTTCAACTGGTAGAAACTCCGAGTGATCTGTGGGTAAACAACAAAGACACTTTTTTCTGAACAGTACTATACATTTTATTCAGATATAACACTAGACTGTTTCCACTTCTACAGATATATTAAGGACTAAAAATACAAATGTGACTTGAGAGATCATATTACAATATATACATATATTACAAAACTGATTACAAGCAAGATCAATTGCATAATCAGTGTTTGCCCTAGGCATAAAAATTTAAGAGTCATCATGACTCCCTGGTGTCATGAGAGGGAGTCATGGACATGTTTTTGGGAGTCAACTTCTTTCATCAAGAGATCAACTGTTATTGTTTAATAACAACAGGTCCAAGTAAGGCAGGTCAGGTATTTAATCAGCACTGAGCAGTTAACTGGCAAACATTAAACTTAGTAGTTTTAAACAACAATAAATTACAATATGTACTCAAACTTAAACTAAAGTAAAGTTATCTGAACTAACAGCCCAGGTCGAGCATTGCCTCAACAATGATGCGAGCTTATAAATTCACTGCTTATTTGAGATAATTTGTGAGTCAAATACGCAGGTTTTCTGTGTCATGGCAAACACTAAAAAAACTCAAAAAACCAAAACAAAATACTTTTACTCCAAAACAGACTTAACAAATAAAGTTAACAAGATAACAATAAATAAGTTCAATTATAACTGGCAAATAATAGGAAAACATTATCCCCACTTATTATACTTGCTTGCATAAGCTTGCACTTGCTTGCATAGGTTATTCCATATAATCATAGTCTCTACCAGTAGAGACTACCAGTAGAGACTACGATTGCAATCTCTACTTGTAGGATCGGAGATTCTACCAGCAGAGACTCCGATCGCAATCTCTACTGGTAGAGACTCTGATCGCAATCTCTACTTGTAGAATCTCTGATTCTACCAGATCACAGTCTCTACCCTGACATATACATACACGATTGCTCATTATTGGCTAACTATGTTTACGCAGTGGAATTACTAAATTAATTTGTGAACGTGAGACGTGAAAAAACGTGCTTAACTAAAATGGTAAATAAACAACCTTCTTGCCACTCCGACCACCAAACTAAATATGATACTTTTGCCACTCCGACCACCAAACTAAATATGATACTTTTGCTAAACTACATGAACTAAATAAGCTATCTGATAAGATACACAACTATAATTCTAAATTGTGTTATCTATACTATGCCCGAATATGGCAAACTATTTGTGTAATCTCACTGATCACAATTGTCGACCATTCACCTAGCCGTCAGAAACCTATCTGCTCGACTCTGCACGTGCAGAAAGTGACTGCACGAGGCGTTACGGTTGCGTTTTGATGCAACGTTCATGGTTCTTGTAAAGATGTGTTTTGGCTATCAGATAACAAAAAAAACCCAAAGAAACTAACTTTCTCTCCAGAACAAACTAAATTACTTTTTCTTTAAAGAATGGCGGACATTATGCAATTAGTTGCCAGCGGTGTGCTATCTTGGGTGACCAATGAGACTATACACCAATGTGAAATACCTGAAACAATATATCACTTTTTCGTATATTAGACTGTTAAAAGACACATCTCTTGGAACAGCTGCAGATGAATGGCATATCACTCGTTTTTGTGGATATTGATGGATGCATTCCTCGAACAAGGTAATAGCCTGACATTGTTCCTATA